CTAGAATATTAGTATTAACAGTTAGAAAAATGTTTTGTAACACCGCTTGCGATAATTGACTTTTAGAAATATTTTAGTCATTAAAAAAATAATTTTTGTATTTATAAAGAAAGAGAAAGTTAAGGTGATTTGGTTAAAAATCAGTCCCAGCAAGTGCTTCTGTAATAACACAATTCTTGGATCTCCCAAAATTCTTAATATACATATACATAACACCATTCTTGGATCACACACATTATTTGGTTACGTTCAGATGTCTTGGTATAGAGATGTTCTCAATTGTTAATTAAAACTTTAGACCTAAACGGAGAAAACAAGGATATAAGTTCCATACTTCCGGGATTGAAACATATCCAGTAAAAACAAAACTCCCTCATCAATGTCCCTTTTCCATCTCTCTCCAGCTACAAGAAAAAACATGCATCCCAAAACGAGCACATCACCAAAACGCAAAAACATAAAACACTACTAATAGTTGGCCCTGTGATTCCCCATAATCAAATTGCTACTACTACATAAAAAATGACACGATCAAGCCTTTAACCCTAAATTATCTGCAGCAAACAAAAAAAGTCCAACCATATCAAGCGATTGAAACCTAATCCTGTGGACAAGGTCAATACTCGAAAGCCATCAATACTAAATACCAAAATCTTGATACATCAACATCTTAATTTGTAAATATGAAAATGACACGATGAAGAGTGTGTACAGGTAATTTGGTGTATTGCTTACGAAACATAGACTCAGCATGCCCACGGTTCAAGTCCTTAACGGACAGGGGCCATCCCACCACAGTTGTTTAACACTTCAATCAGATGACGCTCGCTGCTCTAAAGCTCAAGGATCTACTGTCCCATGTTAGGGGGTGGCGGAGGAAGACGGACACCCTGATTCTGCATTGGTTGGGTAGGAAAACCTTGTGGAGGAGGCATTGATGGAGGTCTAGTACCCATGTTGAAACCCGATGTCCCACTTGCAATAGGGGGTGGGGGTGGGACAGATGGCATTCCACCGGAAGGTGCAGGTCTAGGACCGTTAGCTGCAGCCATAGGAGGGGGAGGTGGCATGGATCCTGGCATTGGAGGTGGAGGAGCTCTAGGAGGATTTGCCATAGGTGCACCAGGAGGTAGCCCTTGTGGGGGAGGAGGAGGTGGGGGTAGTGGAGCTTGAGGTGGTGGGGGCAAAGGCCTTGGTGGAACACCAGATGTCGCTGTGCCATTGGCTGCAGAGGGAGGCTGTGGTTTGTTTGCCTCCGGTGGCTTGGTTTTAAAATACAATTGCAACTACAGACAATTATCAATTGAAGTCATCAGTGGCAGATGTGGGAAATTAAAAATCACTAATGCACACCGCATATATAAAAAACATCAAGAAAAGAAAGCAAAAAAGAAGACAGGAAATTTCCAACCTAGTTCTGCTGCTGCTGAATGCTTGAATAATTAGATTGTATTGATAGTTAAAGGGGCAAACAATTAAAATGACTTGGATTCTCTTGAATCAGCCTTGTGTGTGTATGTCTAGGGGCAAAGTGCAGGTTTACGTAGCTTAATTTAACGTTAGAAACAGGTTTTAATCAAAAGTTTTTAAAAAGAGCCACTGAAAACTACTTTTTTTTTTTTAATTCTTCATAGCAAACATTTGTCAAATAAGCTGCAAGCCAATCCAAATGTAGCACCACACCTTTTTTTTTTTTTTGCATCAAATGTGTGACACCCGGGCACTGACGAGGGCGGGGAGTGACGCCGGTGCGGGGAGCATGGTGCAGGGGGCACAGACAATGAGCGGCTCCTGGCAAGGCTTCCGGTGGAAGGGGTACATGAATGAATCGAACATACACCGGAATGAGAGGGATCTGGAGACTGTATAGGTATGGGACTATACAGTTGAAAGATAGCTTAAAGGAATTGATTTGGCTACTCATATCACCAAAATGCATTTACTTTTCGGTAGCCTGACTCATAAGAACTCCATGGTTAAGCGTGCTTAGCCTGGAGTAATTCTGGGATGGGTGACCTTCTGGGAAGTTTTCCCAGAAAGTGTGCGAGTGAGGACAAAGCACACTGGAAAGCCTGGTGGTGGTTTGTGGGGGCAGTCAACGGTCCCTGTGAGTTGCCGGGACGTTACAGATGGTATCAGAGCCTAGCCTCTCCCAGTACGGTGTGGTTCGAGGACGAACCAAAGCGGAAGTTGGTGGGCATGTGACACCCGGGCACTGACGAGGGCGGGGAGTGACGCCGGTGCGGGGAGCATGGTGCAGGGGGCACAGACAATGAGCGGCTCCTGGCAAGGCTTCCGGTGGAAGGGGTACATGAATGAATCGAACATACACCGGAATGAGAGGGATCTGGAGACTGTATAGGTATGGGACTATACAGTTGAAAGATAGCTGGTGGTGGTTTGTGGGGGCAGTCAACGGTCCCTGTGAGTTGCCGGGACGTTACAAAATGCATGTTCAAATTTTCATGTTCTGGTATCGAAGCACACTGATTCACGGCCTGTACATGTCTACAACTAATCATCTTTCGTAGGGTTTCACTGTCCCTTTCTTGTAAAGTTAAAAGCTACCTTAAGTTAATCCCCAGTTAAACTTTAAAAAAAAAAAAATTCTTTGTTTTTTGCATGGATCACAAAACACAAAGGCACTTGCATAGATCAAGTTTACCATCACAGACAGACAAGAGGAGCACATGAACTAACCGTGAACATCTTTGAGTCCGGATCCCAGTGCGAGAAAAACTTTGGAGTAGACTTATCAATCTCTGTGCTGGGCACCTGAAAATGTAGCTTAATTGAGCATAAAGCAAATTTCTACAACTACAAAAGGAAAAAAACACAGCCAAAATCAAACTATAGAGGAAGACCAAAACAAATACACAAACAAATGTACGAAAATACCTTGAATGCAATTATTTCATACGGTTCAGCGGCAAACAGAAGGTACTGATATCTTTTATCAAAGGGTTGCACCCTCTGTAAGAGAAAAACGGAAATACTAAAACACCAGCATATTTATTGACAACAATCTGAGAGAAAGCATTGAACAAAATCACCAGGATTGACCTGTTCGTAGGAGGACATAAACCGGTGCCTCGGCTTGGCAAGGTCTTCAATCTCGGGATACTCAATCTGCGTCATCACAGAATTAAAAACACGAACAATATAAAGAGTGAATTAAGCATAATATCATCAATTTATCAGACAATGTTAAAAAAAAGAGTGAATTATGCATCGATATAAAAAAAGAACCTGGAACAGTAGAGATCTTTGCTTGGTCTCAGGATCATACTGCTTGGTCACACGGTACCCAGGGCGTCCAATCTTAACTGCGAAAAAGGCACGCGAAATGTTTGTTTAATTTAGCAAACGGTGAAAAGGGGTAAAAGAGGGAAAAATAAACAAGAGGCACCTGTTTTGCGAAGGGTGACTTTGCGCTTGTGGGGTTGGGGCTGGGCAGGGGCGTCCTTGGCCTCGCGAGCAGCACGTTTGGCCAAGTTGGTCTGGTGGCGCTTGCCCTGAGTGTGGGCCAAGTAGTTGCCCTCGTTGTTGTGAAGAGTGAGACAGAGTTTGCACTCGTAGCTCCCAAGGTGGTTCCGCATGAAATACGGGTCCTTCGCTAGGTCTATCGTCTCCAGAGCCAGTCGCCGGAGACGCTCTCGCCGGTCGATGGCTTCGTTCTGCGCCGACGCCGCGCCTCCGCTCCCGGGCTTCGATCCCCATTCTCGATCCATCTCCAACACCACTTCACTTACCAATGATATTGATAATTACCGCCACACATTCTTTTTGAGATCTTGTTATTATGTTCCCTCCCTTTTGGGCTCTTGGGCCATTCTTACACACCTAGCCCATTATTCATTTCAGTTTGGGTGTTTCACCGTACACCTTCGAGTTTCATCCTCCACCTCCAAATTTTTTTATATTATATATTAATAATCAATTTAATGTAACATTTATATATATATATATATATATATATATATATATATATATATATATATATATATATATATATATATATATATATATTCAATAAAAAAATGTTTGTATCAAAGAGAAACACAATACATTGAAATCCATTGGTATACAAAAAAAACACAATGCATGTTTGTATCAAAGTCAAATTAAGCAATTAAAGAATGTTGAGTTAGAATAGGTTTTATACATAGACAACAACCATGGTGCCTCTATTAAAGATTAACACAATTTTGAATTTAGCTTTTTTTGGAAGTTATAAATTTTTAATAGAATGTCACAATAGACCCTTATAGAGCTTATATAGTTTTATTTTTTTTTTCAAATCAATTGTGAAATTCATTATTTTTTTTGTCAAAAATCAAATTAGAATTCAGTGGCATTAGTGATTAAGAAGAATACAAATTTTTATATTATTTATTTGCGTATAAAGTAAAAATAATAGTATACGAGAGTTCTTTATTATACCTAGTAATAGAGAATGAAATATATTATCTTTATACAAAAATTAAACATTAAAATTAAGTTTATGATATATTATTTTAGCACTCCAAAAATCATTCGTAAAAGTTTACAGATGGATATAAAAAACTTATTGTAAATAAAATGGTATAACATAATATTTGTAATAATTAATACATAATAAATAAATGGTAGAACACAACACGTAACTTTATGTTGATTTAGAAAATCAAGATATTTGTTGCAGTATAATATACGAGCCTTGTACTTTATATACAAACTTTGGATTTGGGGAAAATTCTGAATTTGTCTATTGGAATTGGTCAAAGTTCTGAATCTGTCAAGTGTTTTGAAATATTCAGGGTTTTTTTATTATAAAATATTAATAAATTATATGAATATTTGAATAAACAGAAAAAATATATATTTAAGTGGATATCAGTTTTCGTTACTCAAAGTATAAACTAAAAAACGTTAGATTATCGATTTAGTTTATTTATTAATATTAAGAATAAAATTATACAAGTATAAAGATTAGTTTAGTGGAGCACATACAGAAAAGAAAAAAAAGCTAGGAGAAAGTGAAGGAATGGTGGCGGAAAGAAAGAGGTTTGTTTGGGAAGCAAAAGAATAGCCGCACCTTCCGTTTTGACACGTTATTCGGTAGAAGGTGGTGACGGAGAATTGGAGGGAATATCCATTGACCCAGAGATCTAGTTTCATTCTTCCTGCACAACCACGACCAAAGATCTGTGAGTTTTTTTGTTTTTGTTTTTCTCTCTGGTCAGATCTGTAGAGTCTTCTTTCTCGACGCCATTATTATTCTTTTTCATCTCCGGAAGGGTGGAATCATGTCTAACAGAAATGAATATTCTTCTTTACCCGTTAGCTCCTATTTAGAATTGCAGCGTCAGAACGAGTCCTCAAAATCTGTTGGCATTCCTTCTTATGACGAATCCGAAGTGTATTTGGGATCCAAAATCGAAGACGAGGATGAAGATTTCGAAACGGACATCGATAATTACCCCCTTGTTATTGTGGGGTCCAATAAAGGCTCTGGGATACCTGGGGCTGTTTTCAATTTAACAACCACGGTTATTGGGGCAGGGATCATGGCTCTCCCTGCCACTATGAAAGTTCTAGGATTGGTTTTGGGGATTATTTTGATAATTCTTATGGGAATTTTGTCTGAAATTAGCGTGGAATTGTTGGTGAGGTTTTCTGTTTTGTGTAAGGCATCCTCCTATGGGGAGGTTGTTCAGCATGCAATGGGAAAGCCTGTGAGGATTTTGTCTGAAATCTGCATTATTTTGAACAATGCCGGTGTTTTGGTGGTTTACTTGATAATCATGGGGGATGTTATGTCTGGTTCCTCTCACCATATGGGGGTTTTTGATCAGTTAATGGGGAATGGGGCGTGGGATCAAAGGAAGATTGTGGTTTTAGTTGTCATGGTGGTTTTCCTTGCTCCCCTTTGTTCACTTGACAAGATCGATTCATTGAGCTTGACCTCGGCTGCCTCCGTGGCTCTTGCTGTTTTGTTCGTCGTTGTTGCTTTTACGGTTGCTTTCATCAAGCTCGTGGAAGGACGGATTGATTCTCCCAGATTTGCTCCTGATCTTAGCTCCAAAACTGCAATTTTGGATTTTCTTGTTGCGATACCCATCATGACCAATGCATATGTTTGCCAGTTTAATGTGCCGCCAATATATAATGAGCTTGAACAACGGTCTCCTCGAAAGATGAACACGGTTGGGAGGTACACCACTGTTTTGTGCATCGTAGTTTATGCTTGCACTTCCATATCGGGTTACCTGCTCTTTGGGAAAGACACAGAGGCTGATGTACTGACTAATTTTGATAAGGATCTTGGAATTCGGTATAGCTCGGTCTTGAACTATATTGTCCGGATTGGCTACATTCTTCATTTGATACTTGTTTTCCCTGTTATTCATTTTTCATTGCGCCAAACAGTGGACGCATTATTGTTTGTGGGATCACCTCCTCTTTCAGAAAGTAAGAAGAGATCTTTGGGGTTGACTGCGGTTCTGTTGGTCCTCATATATATTGGGTCTACTATGATTCCAAACATCTGGACAGCTTTTAAGTTCACTGGGGCAACCACGGCTGTTTCATTGGGTTTTATATTTCCTTCTCTTGTTTCTTTGAGACTAAAACATCTGGGAGATCTAAGCTACGGAGAATGGGTTTTGTCATGGTTGATGTTGGTATTAGCTGTGACTGTTAGCATAGTAGGAGTTGTTAGCAATGTTTATAGCCTTCAGAGTAAGTCTTAGCCACACAATTTGGTTTCTTCGTTGGCTCTGCTGCAATGTGATTCAAACTGCAGAAGATGGGGTGCGCAGGATTGTTTTGTAATATGGGAAAACTATTTTTGCTCCGGCTATGATATATAGGGTATAAGATGCACATAAACCTTCAACACGTCCTCCAATTTTGAAGACTGGTGACCAGTTGGTTCAGGACCAGAGGACTGTGGCTTATCAGTTTGCCGCAGTATGTATACAGTTCTGATCTTTATGGCAGTATTATCTTTTTTCTTCATTGATTTTACACAAGGTTGATGTTGTAACATTTTGTAGCAGGTTCTGCAATTGCTTATCTGGCACATTCCACGTTTTATTTTCGTTTTCTGGTAGACAATTTCTGTTTTAGTTGCTTTCAAAGCATGTGTAGGCTTGTTATAAAATGCTTTTAGGATCAAGTAAGGAATACCTTGCATACACCACACTATAAATGAGACACACGCTGCAACCCCTCATTGCATAACAATCATGCACAACTGGATAACATTATATCTGTATCACATTCAAAGTAGAATGCAGACAACTTGTTAAACATAAGCCTGAATTTGAGAACAAATTATCTCCCAAATGAAATTGCCCTAGTTTTTCTTCGGCATGAAAACAGGTGAGCTACATGCTCCTTTTCTAGTGAATTTTGTATTGCTGCAGCTTTGTTTGTTTTCTTTTCATTTTCCTTCTTCTCCCCATTCTTGTTTAGACTTGGGTAGTAGAGCAGGAATACCAACATTCACTGGTTTGGTTTCTCCCTGGAGTGGTAGACTGAACTATCTATCTCAGCAAACATATTATTTCGTCATAATAATAACACAGATTGATCCTTATGTGATCCATCAAACGTAGCTTCGGCCTCATAAACCGGAAATATCAGTTTCTGATGACTAATAAATTCCATTTCAGTATCTACTTTGTTATAAATATTATATTGTGCTAATTTCATACATAAACACGAGTGATGATTTTATTTTCGGATGAATAAAGTACAGTCTCATGGTAAAAATGATATCACTTTAGTGGCAAAAACAAGATATCAATATTTTAATCGACCGATAGTGTATTTAATAATGTCAGGAAGCTGACTAATTTATTTAAATAATTCATTGATCAATATAAAAAATACTTGATAGATGTTTACTTCACCCATATAAATATATTTGACATGTTTAAAGTAAATTTTCAATTAATGATTGCATAATTTTTCTTATTTGTTAGGGAACTTTTTAATAAAAAAAATCAATGTAAAACGTAACTTAAATTAAGAAATAAAAAAATGGTTAATACTTCTTATACAAATTTTAAAATATAAATAAAAAGTTATAAAAAATTAATTATTTAAAATTATAATTGTTTCGGGTATGGGTCTCGAATCTAATCAAAACACTCCGCTTCACACTTTTCTCCCTGTCTTATCACGTCGCTTTCAAAGTTTCAGTTATAATGTTCTTAAGTTCTCGACACTCCTTCTTCAAGTTGGGAGTGTACCTATAAAAGATATTATGACGCTCAAGTTAGTAATACAAATGTTCGGGTAGCACAGTAAATTCTTAAATTCCCAATAAATACAATTACCTACCTTCTTACCTTACACTTGTATTTATAATTTTCTATATATGCTTATAACTAGTATAGGCTTAACTGTAGCCCAATAATCGAAATATACTTTACCTATAATCTTTTATTGCTAGTGATACTTAGTGCTTAAATGATCATGATCGCCAGATTGTTCTGTTAATCTGGGTTTTACACTTTTATGGATCGCCTGATCAATAGCTGACCAAGCGGTCATACAGTACACATGTCTCCGAGTCCGAGCCAAAGGTATCTAGCACTAGGTTTGATTGATGATGTCTTTGGTGTGGTTTTTCATCTGCATTGGACGTTGGCTTGGCCGATCCGCTCGAGCTATACTAGTCGGGGATTTCAAAAGATGGTTGTGGGAGTGACTGTTGGCGGGGAAAAGTGTGTGTCACTTCATGTTTTGTGCCTAGAAGTGGCAAAGACGCACAATCTAGATCGTTGGATGAAGCTGAATCTAAGGGTGGATGGCTTGTGACAATTGAGGACGATTTGCCTATAAATATGGGTGGTCCTCTCCCGTCATTTTCATCATTTTCTTTAATTCTCTTTGTCTATCGAAAGGTCTTTCTACATTTCAAGTAATAAAAATGTCATTTGTTTCGTTATCTTCGTTTGANATATATATATATATATGTTTCGGTAACATTTCCGAGAACTAGTATATATAAAAAAAAGTAAATGATAGAAAGGTAAAATAATATATTTAAAATAATAAATATATAATTCTTTTTATTTATATATTACTCATTTTATTCATTTCTATTCATGGTAAGATTTCTTGGTCTCAAAAGTTTACAGTTATTTATGTGATTTTTCATTAAATTTATCTTTGCATCTAAAATTAATTAGGTTGATGCCTAAGTCCTTTAGGTAACATTTGTAACATCTCATTCTTAATAGTATAATACTAGTAAAATAAAACGTTACATAGATGATAATAGAACAATTATACAAAACTAAAGCTTCCACAAGGACCATATCTATACCTATAGAACTATCTTACTTCTCATCTGTAACACTTTCACCTGTTGCTGAGGCAACTGAAAAGAACGTCTTGATAAGCTCACACCATTTAGGTGATCATCGCAAAAGAGAAACATACACAGAGACAAACAACACAAAAACAAGGATAAACTAGTGTACAAATAAAGCATCATATACTAATTTGGTTTAACAATTTACAACATTCAAGAATGACCAATTCATACAACCACAAGACCACAAACTCACTTATCCAGATATGATTATGATATAGACTCCTGAAGGCATTGCACTCATGGTAGTATTTATACTCTACAAAGTCATAAACAAGGGTAACTCGACCTACTACCCATGAGGTTAATCTTTCACTCGTAAAACCCAAAGGGTTAGGGTGAAGACCTCCTTCCATTCTCTCAGCCACCCCATTCAACTCTACACGAGTTAATGGTTGGTAGAATATCAGGATTACCCTCTTACTGTAGCTTCTCTATCAAGCATCCGCCACAACTTACTTAAATATAGAATCTCTCCTTGATATTCTTATCATAACACATTTTTCTCGTTCTCATATCACATTTCACATATATACAAAGTACTCATGATCCAACAATAGCAAGAAAGCATGTCATAAACCAATAAACTAAAAGACACTTTAAAATCACAACTTTGGGAGAATTGATGTCAAAGATGCAGAGTTGAAACCAGAGAGTTCCACAACCTAACTTTGAATGTTTCCACAACCTGTGGATTTATCTCAAGAGAAACAAATTGAAAACCAGCAAGTTCAACAATTGAGTTGTGACTTTTTCCACAACTTGTGGATTTATTTTAGGAGTGAAAAATCGAAATCAGAGAAGAGCACAAACAGATTGTGGATTTTTCCATGAGCAGTGGAATTTTTAGAGCAATTACTAACCTCTCATAGATACATTTCAATATAGACTTGGACATTTTCCCCACACATTCTATTGATCCTTAAGATCCCCTATGCACCGAGCAACATTGAAAAACATTCTCCAAACTCATATTTGCTACCTCAATCCAACTTAACTACTTTAAACCCCTCAAACTCAATTTTATACCTTTTAACACCAAATTTTCTGCAACTAACAACTTGAACAAGTCGTAATAGACTTAATAATAGCCCCAAAACCTTACATTATGTCCAGACCTCCTAAATCAAAATACCACTAGTGAAAACCCCTAAAAATGAACTAAAAACCATACAAAAACACACTTAAAAGGCTAACAACCAGTTTTACATCATAAATATGCTAACATATGACTCAAACAAGTCTTAATCAACCCTTAGACCAATCCTAGAACAATGTATTTCCGAGATAACCTTTATCTTAACTTTTCACCTGTCAAAACCCCTTTTTAGCCCAAAAAACTACATATTTCTTCTGCTGAATACAAAACAATGACCTATAAGACAACTCATATTTCATCCAATTTAGTATCTCAAATTCATCACACACAACATTTACATCAGAAATCACATTTCACCTCATCATTCATAAGTTTTCACATCAATACACAACATATACAAACAGCTCAACATACTATATTTCTCAATTCAATGCAATTCCACAATTCAATCAATATTTCACCATACCAAAATTAATTATAACTTGCCTAACAAACAAAATCAAATAAAACGAGCTTCCCTTACCTTTTTAGAAGGCCAAATTGTTCTAGAAGTCCTTATACCACTTTCATAGCTCAAAGAGCTCTATATGCACCTATAAACCACAAAATCATGATCAGGGTACTCTGTTAGAACCAATGATCAACAAAGAACCTAAAAGAAGACTCAAAGCAAAACTCCACATGCATGGGAAAACGTGAAACCAAAGAAAAACAACAGAAAATTGACTTAGTCTATTTGAGAACTGATTAGGTAGACTTGAAGATCTCACTCTGAGGAGCACACAGGCGGTCTCTGATCTTCAAACAGATGAGTAGGGTACAAAAATCCTTAGAGAGAAGATAGAGGACTCTAGAAGGATGGTTTATAAAGAAATTATGTGTTTAAAAATAATAAAACTTATTTATTCATTTTATATTAAAAATCTTTTAATATTAAAATAATAAAGTCTCCTTATTTTTAACTCACTGTCACTTTTAAAATATCATTTTTTAAGTCTTCACAATGTTTTATGCCATGTAATCTTTCATTAATTAATTTTTACCTTTGCCTTTAATTCCGGCACGGTTTTAGCACATGTTTGTATTACCACCTCCAAATTCAACTAATTTTTATATGATAAATAAATACTGTGATTATTTATGTTGCGATTTAACCATATATTACTATAATAAAAAGTTTTTTATTATAATCTAAACATTTTGTAATTTACCCTACAAAATTATATATAACCATTTCTTCTAATTTTATTATTATAACTACACTAAACATTATGTTTACTTCTATTTTTTTTAAAGCAAAATTCCAGTGTGAATACCTATTCTGTTAACAACGTTTCAGTGTATTTAATCATGCAATTTTATGTTTAACAAATGTTTATAAATATAGATATTTATATAAGACTAAGAACTCTAATATGTTCTAATTACAATTCCTAATTTGATTTCTAAAATAATATAACTAATAAATATTTCTTCATACAACATATCTACACAACCACCAAATTTCTCCTACTTAGATTTACATGCCAAAGATGGGAAATAGAAAAGCATTCTCAGTTCAACTAAATACTTCACTTTATTTCTAAAAATCTTATATATATTCACTAATATATATGCCAAATACAAATTCTACCCAGCAACATTTCCCAATTCTAGTATATATCCAATTAACTCATATTTAATGTC